AAAAAAAAAAAAAAAAATCAAAAACAAAAACAAAAAACAATAAAAGAGATACTGCTATTTTTTTGGGCGGAACCAGGGATTGAACTCAGGCCCTTGAGCTTGCCAGGGAAGCACTTATTCTACTGAACTATCTCCCCAGCCCCGGCACATTGTGTGTGTGCTATTAATCCACATCAAAAAATCTCTCTTGCTTTAAAAATATTTTCGCATCATTCCTGCACTTTCTGAAGCAGTTCTAGAAGTCCTTTCATGTCGAAATATATGGTGACTGCTGTTACCAGCCAATGGAAAGGTAAGCTCATAAACATATGAGGGTGTTCTCATTCACCTCATTCACCATTCCATCTCTGGCTCTTTCCCAAACTCAAAATGACCAAGAAAGGAAAACATTTTGAATCAATTGAAGACATCAAGAGAGCAGCCAGACAGTACAACTAGACACATGAGAGCTCCAAAACTGCTTCAGAAAGTGGCAAGACTAATATATACTAAGTGTGCCTGAAGCAAGGGGGGTATTTTGAAGGGGGGGGGGGTTTAATTACGATGTGTTTCTACTGTAATAAGTTAGAAATTTAAACATTCTCCATATTTTTGGATCATCCCCCATACATGTTGCTTCCTCAATTAACACCCCAAAAGGCAACAAAAGAAACTCACTACAATGACAAAAATATCAAGCTTCTGTATTTACCTCCAATAAAGACAACAGGAGAGTGACATTTTCTTGCTGCTTAATGAAAATTTCTGTAAACTGGCTTCCCAAATCCTCACTCTGTCTTGTGGAATTTTCTTCTGTAATATTCAAAAATAAAGTATTCAAAATGATGCTGTGTTATTTTAAAGTATATTGGAGAGTTAAGCAGAAATGGTAATTTCCCTGGTACTTGGTTAATTCCACACTGGAACAGTACAGTTGCTAAGTACGATTACAACTATGAATGTTACATTCTTCAAATAACCTTCAAAACCATTTCAATGTCTTTATTTTTTGAATGTTTAAATATGATATCCAAGGACATGTAAATATCCACCTTTTTTAAACAATGCTTAAGCTTTTATGAGGGCAAGGGAACCATTTGAGTAAAAGAAACATTCTACTTTGAATGTGGTTATGGTTACACTACATTTTTTTCCTAAATTCAAAAGATACACAACTTCAAAGTGCAGATTTACTTTATTTTATTTTGTTTGTTTTGTTTTGTTAAGACAAGGTCTTGCTATGTAGTCCAGGCTAGTGCTGAACTTATAATGTAACCTAGGCTGGCCTCAAACTTGCAACGATCCTCTTGCCTCAGCCTGAGTACTGGAATTACAGGAGTCCATCACATGCCAGACAGTGCAGATTTTATTGTCCATAAATCATATCTCACTTTCTATGCTAAAATATTAAATATAGTCCTTATTAACTGTTACTATCAAATAATTTAAAAATTAAACCAATTTTTAAAAAAATTTTTTTGTTGTTACAGGGTCTCATTATGCAGCTCGGACTCTGTGATCCTCCTGCTTTCAGCCTCCCGAGTGCTGGGATTACATGCATCACTATGCCTGGACTCTGTGGCCAGCTCAGCCCACCCTGGAGACAAGTCTAGCATGGCATGTGGTACCAGGGATCGAACCATGGCTAAGCTTCCCTAAGCAGGTGCTTTAGTCCACTGAGCTCTCTTGCTGGCCCTTAAACCAATTATTTGAAGATTCTTCGGTATCTTTCTTACATATGTTCTATAAAATTGGCCATAAAAGTCATAATCTAACTTTTAATTTCTCATATATCCTTTAAAAGATATTTGTCCTTAACCTTTAAAATTTTTACTGTTTCAATATAGTTTATTAAAAATATGAATGATAACTAAAAATGGAAGAAACGATGACCAAAGTAAACACTCCCTTAAAACCCATGCACGTTACAGAAGAGGGCAGAGACGCCCAGACCTGTTCCCTGACTCACGCCAGGGACAGCTGACTGACCCCACGGCTTTGGGCCTGAAGCCCATCCACAGCCTGCTCCAGGATGACTGAGTCAGGGAGCCAGCAGGCAAGGGCACAGTACTTCAGGCAGCTCCACTAAAGTGTGAAGTTTTCATATTAAAATAATGTAAAATTGGAGAAAGCCCCAGCAGATTCCAGAAAAATCACAGCAACCAGTGCTGGCACTAATAATCTGATCTAGTCATTGGTGGTAGAAAAAGAAAAAAGAAGACACCAAAATCTGACCAAACATCAGATAGGTCAGGATGATCTTTCACAAATGCTAAGACATATTTCTCTAAAACAGCTCTTGTATTTTGTAAATAACTGTTTCTGAGCCTTAAAACTATACAAACATGTGCTAATAAAAATGAAATTGAAAAAGCTCTTCACAGGCAGGAAGTAATTTTAAAGAATGATGCACTTGACATGCTGCGCACAGCTGTCAGGGCAACGGTGAAAACTGGGAGTTGGTCAGCAGGCAGCAAGCGAGGCAAGGCAAAGGTGACTTACTAGGCTCTGGTTTTTATAAAAACAGAGAGAACAGGATTTGCTGGCCCCTGCACAGTGAGGAGTGGGAAGAAAAGAAGAGGCAGTCTACTGCGTCACTACTGATGAAAAGGTAAACACTGTTCAACAAGCAAGTAAGGGCCAGGGGTATGGGAAGAACCTCAGGCATAGTTGTGAACATGTTAGGTCTATGCCACCTTACACTCTTCCAAGTGGATCTGTGGAGCAGCAGTGGGGTACATTCAGGAACAGACGAAATGAGAAGAGGAGACAGGACCTACACAGTAGAGCAGTCACAGGAAGATAAAGACACAGGACTTGGCCACAAGTCTACTACAAAAGACCACAACTAGCTTTAAAATTAATGGTGAAAGACTCTGTATCTTCCCTTCAACTGAGGAAGGAGGCAGTTTTATTTAGCATTTTATGGAGATTGAAATCAGTGCTATAAGGCAGGGAACACCAGGCAAAGAGAACAGTGAAAAAGAAATGAAACTCTGCGTCTACAGGGCACATGTCTGCATATGTGGAATCTTCTACAGCATTATAGAAAAAGTCATTAGAATTAATGAGTGCACTATTTAAAATTACAGGGTAAAAGGTCAATACATAAAATAATTATATTTCCATCTAATAAGCTATTAAAAGACCCAAAATTTAAAAAAATAAAACTGACAGTACCAATTGTTGGATAGCATTTGGAAGAACTGGAACTCAAACATTACTGGTGGAAATATAAATATTACAACTGCTTTAAAAATAGTTTAGGAATTATGATAAAGTTAAACATAAACCTGTATTACTAGACCATTCTGTCTAGGAATTTACTCAAGAGAAATAAAAGCATATATCCATACATGAACTGTACATGAATATCTAACAGGATACCAAAAGCCTAAGTTATAAAAGAAAACTGAAAAAATGACATAATCAAAATCTAGTAGCCCAAAACTAGAAATAACTCAAATCCCAACCAATAGAATGGATTTGAAACCTATTATATATGCACACAAAACAATACCATACAGCAATAAAGGGGAATGAATGAACCACTGACAAAACATGGATGAAACTCAGATAAATTACACTCAGTCAAAGAAGCTAGACCCTCCACCAGAACACATGATAAGATCTAACTTAGAAACAATCCTATAAGCATTGAAGCTAATTCACAGTGACAGAAAGTAAATCTGTGATCAAATGGGGCCAGGAAGAAGAGGGCTGTGTCATAAGTAAGAATAGGGGCCGCTGGATGAGTCTGCTGGGTGATCATGTGGATCACTTCACATGGTTAGACACACACCAAAATCAAATAGTGTAGATGTTCAGGTGTTCTCTATCAACTCTACCTCAACAAAGTCTATGTGTGGAAGAAATTTTCAAGTAAGATGTGACTATCAGAGTATACAAAGGCACATGTCAGTGTAAAGCTCTGGGTTGGCAATGTGTGTGAGAGTGGCAGGCAGGGCCATGGTGTCTGGCCTCACTGCGTGCATGAAAGCACTACGAGAGGAAAACAGAAGGAAAAACTCTGTGCCCTGGGCCTTCCAATAGGAACAGTTGGAGAGGAAGAGGACTGAGAAGGAGACAAAGACAGCCATCAGAGAACAAAGCTAGGGCACTGGGGACTGAGAAACAGCAAGAGAGGCCCTTGAGGGCAAGCAGTAGAGTTGTCATCAGTGAGGACACTGCCAAAATGGAAAAAAAAGGAAGAAGGCAAGGCCTACACAGCTCCAGAAACTCAACTGTGTAACCAAATCCTGGTATTTATGTTTTATCTTGTATTTGCTTTCTCAAAAAAAATGGCGTGCAAGCCAACAAAAAGGCAGTTTTTGCGTTTATGACCGTCTGGACTCTATGAGACTAACACACTACCTACTGCGATAACGAGGCCCCTTTGTCTGGATTCTAAAAGTCAAATCTACTTCTTATTTTAATGTTAAGAAACTATTAATCCTTTATCCTTTAAGGCTTTTTTTTCTGAGCCTTCTTGCTATGTAATGCAGGCTAGCTTTGAACTCACTATGTAGTCAAAGCTGACCTTGAACTCATGTGGAGGGGGCCTGTCTCAGCCTCCCAAGTGCTAGGGTTACAGGCACATGACACCACAATTGGCAGATTTTTTAAAATCAGTGGTAGCTTCAAAAGTATTATTTAGGGAAATAAATAATTATTTCTACTTCAAATTGGGGGAGGGGATAAAAGTACAAAAACAAAAGCAACTGAAAAGCTCCCACCATGATGCTAAACAATCATCGACTGGCTGAGGGCATTAAACGAAGGCAGCATAGGCTGACACTAAAAGCCTAATTTGTCTTAAGGAGCCCTGACTCTCAGAAAGCACAGGATGGCTCCGCAATGTGACGGAATGGAGGCCCTCCTGCTTCCATCTGGGAGCTCTTTTAACATTCCCCATCCTAATTACTCACAAGCTCAAGTAACACCAGTGACAAGCTCAAGTAACACCACGCTTGGCAAGCTGTCACTTTCAAAGCTCAAAGGTGAATTTATGATTGGAGTTGCAACACAGCAGGTAAACAGCAAGAACTGTTATCCTTCCCATTTTATTGGCAAGTTGAGGGGACGGTACAAAGGGAGACTATGATGTGCCAGACAAGCTCCAATACATGGGAGCAGACAAGACCTTTGGAAAATGCTCCTCTTCAGAATCTGCTTTGACAAGGAGCCCTGATTCCTTGTGTGGCAAACACCTGGCAGCCAATAAAATCTCAAGATTGAGTGGGTAACAGGTCTCTTTTTAAAGCCAACCAAAAGCCTAATAAGCCACACTATATGGTAATCACACCAGGAACAAACATCTAGGCAGATTCTACTAACATTATCTAGAAGCAGATAAAGAAGCCAGAGAGCCACATGGCCCACAGGGAACACATGTAACAAGTGAACAGAGCTCCACATATACATAAAGGAAGCATTTGTGTTCAGAAGACAATGTACTGGTAAAGGTGGTGCCTACTGGCCCAGCTACTTGGGAGTCTGAAGCAGGAGATTCCTCCAACTCAGGAGTTCCAGCCAGTCTGAACTACATAGCAAGCTCCTGTCTCTGAATCAATGAATGAGTGCATAAGTGAATGGGAAAAGCATCAAAGGCCTGATGGAGTCATCCTAGAAATGATTTTTCATATGTTGAAATACTTCTCTGTAGGTAAGTGCAAGTGATTAACTTATGGGCAAAATCCCTGGTTAGTACTTTCAAAGTGAAGGGTGCTGTGGCCTGTTGCACCTATTGGCACCTGGCAAGAACCAGCCCACAGACACACACACATACCCTGAGCTGAGCTAGTGCCGAGCCG